ATACACACACACATACACACATACCTACCTACCTACCTACCCATATATATATGTGTGTGTATGTATTAAGAATATATATACATACATATATACATATATATATATATATATATATATATATATATATATATATATATATATATACACACACACACACATACACATACACATACATACATACACATACACACACACACACATATATATACACACACACACACACACACACACACACACACATATATATATATAGAGAGAGAGAGAGAGAGAGAGACGATAATAGACGGATGGTAGGTAGGTATAGACGATAGACAGTAGTTAGATGTTTGACAGATAGATGATAATAGAGAGAGATAGATGATAATAGAGAGAGATAGAGAATAGATAGATGATAGAGATATAGTAGACGGGTTAGAGCGCAGACATATTAGAGAGATGTGCGGTAGACACAGAGACAGGTTAGAGGGATGGAGGGAGAGAGAGAGAGAGACACTCTGCATAGCTAACCTTGGAGAGAGAGACAGAGAGAGAGGCCTGCTATAAAGGCTCCTCCCTCCCTTTTGGCCCACCTTCCTCCACCCCCAACCCGAAGCCAACGGGCTCCTCAAGGCTCCCTCAAAACCGCCAAGGCGAGTGAAGGCCTCCCCACTTCCCAGGACCAAAGCCCCACCATCTTCTCTGCGCCCGCCCCCAACCCTCGTTCAGACAACGCGACACCGACACGCATCAGACTCACCCCGGCCGGCCTCCCTCTCCCCGCGTGGAAGCCCCGGCCGGAAATCCCTCGTTCGGTCCGTCCATTTTAAAGCGTCCCATCCGGGAACCGCGGCTCGGGTCTTTGCGTTCCGCACAAGGAAAGAAGGTTATCTCGGGGACACCGGGCGGAGGGAAGTGGGGGGGGGGGAAACCATAGCAACCGCCCGAGCGCGAACTTGGCCTCCCCTAATCGCTGGTAGCTTGTGCCCTGCAGCCCCCTCCTGGTTGGAGTCGGTATTACAGACAGATCAAGTTGAGAGGAGAGAAGAGAAGAGAAGCTAGGGGAGGAGGGGCGAGATGGAAGGAAGAAGAATGGAAGAAGAGATGGAAGAAGAGAGAGGAGAAAAGACAAGAGAAGAGAAAACAGCTGAAAGGGACCTTGGAGGTCTTCGAGAGAAGAGGAGAGACGATAAATTATTAGAAGTTTAGAAGAGAAGAAAAATTTAGAGTAGAGTAGAGTAGAGTAGAGTAGAGTAGAGTAGAGTAGAGTAGAGTAGAATAGAATAGAATAGAATAGAATAGAAGCTGGAAGGGACCTGAGAGGTCTTCTAGTCCAACCCCTTGCCCAAGCAGGACACCCTACACCTTTCCACACAAGTGTCAGTCCAGTCTCTTCTTAAAAGCCTCCAATGATGGAGCCCACACAACTTCTGAAGGCAAGCCCTCCCACTGGTTAATTGTATTATCTGCACTGTACAGGTATTCCTCAACTTATGACCACAATTGAACCCAATATTTTTATTGCTGGGACATTCGTTAAGTGAGGTCTGTCCCATTTCATGGCATTCCTTGCCACACTTGTCAAGTGGATCCCTGCAGCAGTTAAATTAGTCACATGGTCGTTAAGTAAATCTGGCTTTCCCATTGGCTTTGTTTGACAGAAGGTCGCAGGAGGGGATGGCATAATCCAGGAACACTTCCGACCGTCATAAATGAGAGTCCATTGTCAAGCATCTGGATTTTGGCCAGGGAGGCTGCAACGATTGTCAGTGTGAAAGAACGGTTCAATGTCACTTTTTTCCAGCACCGTTGTAATTTCCGTCACTAAGCGAACTGTTGTAACTCGAGGACTACCTGTGGTGTATGTGTTTGTTTTCAATCTGGGGTAACTTTGAACCTGTAAGAATTCTGGGAGTTGGGAGTTCACTCTTCTTAAAATTGAGCAGGTTGGAAAAATTATTGGAGGAATAATTTGTGCAAGTCACTTGAAAGAAGGGGTGCAATTCCCACCCCACCCCAAAAAAGGATTCATGGGGCAAAAAAGGGGTGCAAATTTTGCAGCTCTGCAGGGCTGGGGTGACCTGGGACCTCTCAAAGTGAGGAAAAAGGAAGGATACAGAAGTTGTGTCTCCCCCAGCCCCCAAAACCAGGAGCTGTTGCCTTTTCCCTTGCAGTTGTTTTTGCCCCCTGGAAAGGAAAACACATTCTGACCCCTGTGTAGTTTCCCTGGGAAGAAATATGGACATGTCCTTTCTTGGTGGCCTCCTGTCCAGTTCACTGCAACCAGCAAAAGAAGATTGTTGCTATCTCCCCTTGGAAACCTCTTCTGGACTTTGTGCTTGTGATGTAGGGAAGATATGTATGTGTGTGTGTGTGGGGGGGTGTATATAGACCTAGGACGTCATTGATTAGATGGGCTTGTGGTTATAGAAATAGCTCGTACATGTTATATGTAGAAGTAAAAGTTGAGTATGTTCATTATTAACTTACTGTACTACACTAAAAAGAATCAGATGTGAATGTTTTTTCCCTTTTACTCTTCACTTTTTTCTTATCCCTTTTCCTCCCTTACTTTCCTATTATTATTTTTTGCATTTTATATTTGGATAAACTAATAAAAAATTAAAATAAAAAAATACATTTCTATGTGAATACATTGCTTCTCCTGCCTTACTGCTTCCTGGATCCCAACTCATCGTGCCTTTTAGAAAAACCATAAAACACAACTGCAAATATCCATTATATATAATAATAATTTTATTGATTTTTTATGGCACTCATTTTCCAACAATGCAAGTTGACTCATAAAAGGCAGAGAAATTACAATGAAAACAGTAAAAAAAAAATATGTATCTTTTAATTTGCTGTTTATTATTTTTGGGAGAAAAAAAATGGCACAGAAATGGAAGTAAAATGAAAAGATATATCTTAGTGAAAGACAACTAACAAAAAAAGGATGTGTCCATTCCATACACGGAGGGGGGGAAAAACTCTTTAATGTAAATTAAAAAATACTCCTACAAACATTACAATGATTAAGGAAAACTATGAGGAGAAAAATAAGGAAGACCAATAAACATACTATCCTTAAAAGAGTCATTAAGATTTAAATGCCTAATTAAATCAAAGCCCTACAGAAATGGATTGTGAGATGTAAGACCCAAATTATTTAATACAGGTCTGGTTCACAATTCAAAGGTTTATTAAAGAAAATAAGCATTTGCAAACGGGCCTTCAAGTCCCTTCCAAAGTGGATTGGATGCAAGAAGAGCAAGATCTCATGGTCAAACAATACATTTTATAAACTCTGCACCAGGGCTCTCCAACCTTGGCAACTTTAAGCCTGGAGGGCTTCAACTCCCAAAATTCCCCAGCCAGCTTTGTGGTGGAAACAGCTTTCCGAAGCGAGGTGGGTGCGGAGAAGGACCAGAAAGCAGCGCTGGATGGGAAAGGCACACATGTGCGTCTCTCTCTCTCTCTCTCTTTCTCTCTTTCTCTCTTTCTCTCTCTCTCTGACTCGAGGAGGCTTACACAATGTAAAACCATATTTAAAACAAAAAAAATAATTATACTGGAAATGCTTTGGATTACAAGTCCCATCATCCACCTCTAGGTGGGAGTGTTGATAGGGGATGGTCCCTTCTTGCAAATCTCAAAATGCTCATTATTTAAAGAACTTCTGATTACATATAAAGAACATACATTTAAAGTACTTATGATTACATACATACATCTTCAACTCACAATTGAGCCCAAAATGTATATTGCTGAGTGAGAAATTGGTTAAGTGAGTTTTGTCCCATTTTACGACTTTTCTTGCCACATTTATGAAGTGAAGCACTGTAGTTGTTACATTAGTAACACGGTTGTGAAGGGAATCTGACTTCCTCTTTGACTTTGCTCATCGGGTCACAAAATGACTCCTGAACACTGCAACCGTCGAAAATATGAACCATTTGTCAAACGTCTGAATGTACTCTGGGGATGCTGCAAGGGTCATAAGGGTGGAAAATGATCATAAGTCACTTTTTTCACTGCCGTTGGTCCTCCCCACCTACAATTCAAGCCTCTTTTTCTGGGGTTTTGTGTTTTGCTTGTATTTTCCCCACCAAGTTACAACCTTGCCAAGTAGCCCTTGTGCAAATATGTTATTTTTTTCCAGTTTCTTTTTAAGGAAAAAATAAATGCAGGATTGTTTTGCTTTGCTTTGCTAAGAATTCTGCTTAAATGTTACAAATGGAGTTTTTGATACATGGTGTCTTAACTTAGAGAAATTGACTTAAAGTTGAAACTGTTTCCTCTTTTCTTTGTTACAGGAACTCTTTAGGGGCATGCATTTCTAAAGGAAAAGGCGTGTAGTGTTTTTTGTTTTTGTTTTCCATTGAAAAGCTTTTAACCAAGAAGGAGGGGGAAAGACTTGTTGGAATTGGAGATCTTGACCATTCCTGTTCTTATAGTGTTGGAAAATGCTTCCCAGTTAATTAAAAAAGAGAGATTTCTTTCCAAGGAACCTGTGTTTTCAAGGGAAAAAAACCCAAAAAATCTATCAAGCCTTAGTAAGACCACGCCTAGAGTACTGCATCCAGTTTTGGACACCACACTATAAAAAATATGTTCAGATTCAAGAAAGAGTGGAGAGAAGAGCAACCAAGAGGATTGAAGGGCTGGAGGCTAAAACATACGAAGGAACTGGGCCTGGCTAGTCTAGGGAAGAGAAGGACCAGGGGAGACAGGATAGCAGTCTTCCAATACTTGAGGCGCTGCCACAGGGAGGAGGAATGGGTCAAGCTATTCTCCAAGGCACCCAAAGGCCAGACAAGGAATAATGGATGAGAGCTGAACAAGGAGAGATTCAACATGGAAACAAGGAGAAACTTTCTGACAGTGAGAACAATCAACTAGTGGAACAGAAGTTGCCTTTGGAAGTTGTGGGAGCTTCATCACTGGAAGCTTCCAAGAAGAGACTGGACTGCCATCAGTCAGAAATGGTGTAGGGTCTCCTGCTTGGGCGGAAGGGGGGTTGGACCAGATGACCTACAAGGTCCCTTCCAACTCTGTTAATCTGTTAACCTCAAGCAATAGGCAAGAAGGCTGGTCAGCTTGCTCAGTGGCCTTGAGGAATTCAGCATTGAGAGATTATGAGATTCCCCCCACCTCCCCAGGAGCTGGGCCTTCTGGAAGCTACTGATATCATTCTTTTCCAGGAATGATACAAGGAGACTAAGAACTCCTTTGAACGCAGCTGAGACATCCTTCCACAAAGGTGCTCAGTTTATTTAAA